TGTCAAGTTCACACGTTAGACAAAGCAAGGCCAAGGTCGAACGGATTCTTCCCAAAAAGCTGCAATGGCCATGTTTAGATTTAGACAATTTATTACATATATAGAGTGAAAAGAAGAAGAATCCAAAGGTGCCAGTTCCCCCAAGATCCTTGTCCCACCCACACAAAAGGACAACCCCAAAACAAAAGGCCTAATGACTGCAATGCAATTTGTGGGGTACCCCGTTGTTGACGAGCCCCTTCTAGACTGCAATGAGTCTGTTTTATATTCTGCAGCTCTTTTCTGATGGAGTTGGGGCAGAAAATCCACACTCCATCTGAGCCCACAGAGCATGAAAAATTGTCTCATGACAACCTCCTAGGGGACATAGGGAGGTGAGTACAAGGTGGCATCAAGGCGGCTCCTTGCTGGCATCCAGTCCTCTGGTGTTCTGGGGAGGATCACAGGGCGTTAAGCCTGCGGACTCAGAGAAGGCTGTTGCCAAGCCTTTGTGTATATGGATATATGCAAGGTCGTGAGGGTGCCATGGCAAAGCTATTACCCAACGAAGTGACAAAGGCTGTTAGTGTTGGGGCTGGAGCTAGAACAAAATCTCCTGCCAAGTAATCCCTGACCCCTCAACTGATACTGCCAGCTGTGGATGACTGAGCTGAGATAAAAACAGGACAACACTTTTTTTTTCCTATAAAAGTAACTCTTATTTTTAAAAAATCACATAAATATGACTTACATGCTAATTATGTGTGCTTACCTACCACTTTTAAGAGAAAGTGTCATTTTGATTTAGTTGAAATAATTTGCAGAAATCATACATGTTTATTGTTGAGAAATCAGAAAATATAAAGACACAAAAAGAAGAAAATCTAAATTGTCCATAATCCTAACACCCTGCCTGTGTCAAAATGCCTTGTGTACATAGGTGCTTAATAAGCATATGTGAAATGACTCCATAAAGATACACATGATCTTGGGGGTGAGTAGGCCTTGTCCCTGCTTGCTTGTCCTTGGGGAGTAGATTTCCACACTCTCCATGTGTCATCTACATATGTATATGTTTTTAAAAATGAAAGCATACCATATACTCTCTTTTGTAACTGGCCATTTACTAAAAAATAAATATGATTTTTTTCTAGATCAGTAAACCCTTCCATAGCATTTTTTAATGAATGAATTCAACACTGTCCCTCCTTGGAGCTTCACCTGACTAAGGCCAGCCCTCCCATTCATCCTGGAGAGGATCCTGAGGGGACTGTTCTGCAAAGTGGTGCTTACACAGGACCTATCTGAGAACCTTGGGGCTTTCTAACTGGCTCAGGTTACCATCTAATGGTAGGCGGACAGACGCAGCACACATCTCTCAGCAAGTATTCCGGTGTCTTTCTAAAATAAGTGCTTACATAAATAGATCCTCGTGAGGTTCCACCAAGTAAGCTAACTGAGAAGAGGAATACAAAGGAAGAGGGAAGGAAGAATGATCTAGGCAAAGGGGGAAATGTCCCCGAAACCCCCAACCTGACAGGCAGGAAGTGGTGCCAGAGGCTGGATTCCAGGCAAGGTGCCTAGTGCCCAAGTGGTTATTGAGCCTGTCTTTTGAAACATCACATTTTTGGTTTATTATTCCAAGATCATGGTAGAAATTTTGAAAAACAAATCACAACATAAAGAAGAAAATAAATGATCTATAAACTGTGACTCAGAGATAACCACTGTTAGCATTTTTATAAAAAAAAAGTGACATGTAATTCATTTCACTTGAACTTAACAGAAGGAAAAGAAACTAAACCAGATAAATATTTCTTCAAAATGAGATGTTATTTCTTAAAAAGAGTCCTCTAAAATTAAATAATTAATAGGTGGTCCGTTAGCTCAGGTGGTTGGAGCACGGGCTCATAATGCCAAGGTTGCCAGTTTGATTCCCACATGGGCCAAGGAGCTGTGCACGCACTCCACAACTAGATTGAAGACAACTACTTAACTTGGAGCTGATGGGTCCTGGAAAAACACACTGTTCCCCAATAAAAATTAATTAATTAATTAATTCAATTTTTAAAAAAGTCTTTTAAAAAATAATAAATAAAATTAAATAATTAAGAGACATATTAAGAGGTTAGGGTTTTTGCAGAGGTTCTCAACCTGGGGTGATTTTACCCTGATGGGGACGTTTTGGAAATGTCTGGAGAAAGTTTTGGTTGTCACAACTCAAGGTGGAGGGGAAGGGGTTGCTAACGGGTAAAGACCAGGGATGCTGCTAAACATCCTACTATGCACAGGACGGTCTCCCCAAAAAAGAATTATCCAGCCCCAAATGTCACACTGCCGTGAAAAACCCTGAGTTATTGCACAGTTGTATTTAAATAGCACATAGGGCCTACGTTTGTTTCTAGTTAGTAAGACTCAGTCGTTTTCTCAGGGATCAGCAGAGTATGTGGTAGAAAGCATGGCCTCCAGTCACGTGGTCTGAGTTTGAACTCTGACTCTTGCCACTTACCAGTAAAGTGACCTTGTGTAGTCTCTTTGGGCCTCAGTTTCCTCATCTACAAGATTGCAGTAATGTTAAACTTTATATATCATACCACTATAGTGAGGACTGAATGAGCTAATATAATTAAAATGCTTGGAACAGTGTCTGGTTTATGCTAAGCTCCATAGAAATATTTGCAGTTATTATTAATAATAATACTTGTTATTAATATCTTAAATAAACCAAACAGGAAACACAAATTAAGCTTACGTTTAGGATAATCCTCCTAAGGAATTCAGTAGACAAAAATAGACATGTAAGTAAAGTATATTTAAAAAATGGAAACTTTAAGAAAAATAAACGAAATGACTATCTAAGATCAACTTCTAAATCTAAGGAGAATATACATGAATTCAGAGGTTCAGCAAAGCTTTCCTGTTTTCTGGAATTACCTCATCAACCGTGGATGACTTATCATTTCAGAACACACTTTCTTTTTTCCCCCTTTAGATTTAAAAAATTGGAATGCATCCTCATAGTTCAAAGCTCAAAGCTTATTGCAAGATCTGCATCACACAGTCTTACTCCCAGGGGTGTCCCCACCACCCTTCCCTAGGTAATCACTTTAATTAGTTTCTGATGCATCAATCTACTGTTTCTCTATAAAAGCAAATGCAAATGCTGTGTATTGTTAGTTAGTCCCTCTTTCTTAGACAAAGTTATCACACTTTTCCATTTAGCAATCTATCTTGGCTACCTATCTATCTTTCCATATTGCAATGTATCTTTTCATTAATTAGTATCAAGGAGCTGCTTTATTCTCTTTTAAGGTGGTATAGTATTCCATTATGTATTGGGCTGTTGGAAAAATCATGACGTATTTTTTCTGTTTTTCGTTGCAAAAATGCGTCATGACTTTTCCGACAACTCAATAAATGTTCCATACTTTGCTTATAAACGTGTTTGTAATTTTTATAAAATTAACAAGCTGTCCTCCACGTAGGTTTGTGTTGTTTTAGATTCCCACCGGTAATGTATGAATATGCCTGTTTCTCTCCAGGAATCACTGTAGTTTGTTTGTTTGTTTGTTTGTTTGTTTGTTTGTTTTTAGCTGAGCCATCCTGACACCTGTTGGCAGCTCAGCAGCAGTTCAGCTCAGGCCAGGACCCGAACCGCTTTTGCTCAGAGCTCGCAGTCTTGAGCGAGCTCTTAACCAACTGAGCCACTCGGTTGGCCCCAGAAATCACTGTAGTTTATAATCAACTGTTCAAAAATCATACCACACTGGCAGGCACTACTGGGAGGTAGAAGTGGAAACAAGCCTAAATGGACATTTGGGCATGTCAAGGCTGCCTTCCTAGGAACTGGCAGAATGAGCCATTAGTTTGGGGTGGATTCTGGGCAATTGGGTAATATAATGAGGGCAACCATACTCATTAATCCTAGGAGAATCCAGTTTTTAATGCCAATAGTAAGGCCCAGTAAGACTGGCATTTTTCTAGACTATGAGTTGGGTGAAATTTCCTTCTATAATTTGAACAATAGATCTCTATAATTTTGATGTCTTCCTTACAGAAGCCCTTTGGCCTAATTTCTATATTGGAGCAGATTCTGATCCTCTTAAAAACTTTTTAGTAACAGATTGTGAAAAATGAAGTACCTGGGAAACCACTATGTTTCATTTTCTTTTAGTTTGTAGGTGTAAATTAGCCAGTAAATTTACTCTCAATATTTATGGATTCTTTTTAAGTTTTGCCTCCCCCAAACCACAATATATCTATTTTCTCCTTCATTTTCCGCAAGTATAAAAACATCATAGCAATATCAATTTCATAGATGTTATGGGTATAAATTTTCAAGTGCTTTAGAAATTCTAAGATAAAATATTTGCGAATTAGGCTACTTAACACAACTAATAATTTTTTTGTTTAAAAAAAAATTCAAACCGCATAATTGACTTCATATTTGGAGTCTCACTTTCTCATTCAGCCTCTTGTTTTTCCTGGAGTTTGTAATTGTGTTCCTTTTTCCTTGTTGATTACATGAGATATTTATTTTCATCTCATGTAGATATTTATCTTCATCTGATTTATTTTATCGTCAGCTTGTCGATGTTGGCAAGCTGCAGTAGATTTAAATGCTTCTATGAAGGAGCTATAGGCATTCTACTATACCACACCAAAGGGCTCAGTTTTCTAAAACCCTGGACCCCAAATATTTACACCTCAAATACCGCAGTTTGCCACATATCCCATTTTTCCAAAATCCCATTCCTCCAAAGACCTCAGTTCCCCCCAGTTCCACCAGATATATTACTCTCAATGTTCTAACTCCTGTGTGCCCTTTTTCCCGCCCCCCAGTATTCTCCTTGGAACTGTAGGCCATCCCAGTGCCTGCCTCCTACCCAATGTGATTTTGCCCCGCCCATTTGCTTCAGGTTCCATCAGATGTGGCCATCAGATTCCTCCACCCCATATCCTCTCCAGGAAGTGCCTGCCTGGCTAGGCCATGGTTATTCAACTTTGGTTGAACCCCACAGGTGCTGAGCAAGGCCAAGTATGGTCCAATGTGGAAAAGCCGCGTAGGGCCCAAGTCCCATGTGAACCTGGCCAGTGCTCCACTCCTGGAGAAAGTGATGCGGCAAGAGGGCAAGTACCCACTACGGAATGACATGGATCTATGGAAGGAGCACCGAGACCAGGAGGGCCTGGCGTACGGCCCCTTCACCATGTGAGCGGGGGCCTGGAGGGACTGGAACAGGGCCCCAGAGGACCAGGCCCAAGGACAGTGGCACTGGGCAGTCAGTAGATAATGGGCAGGGTAGGATCTCCCTGCGTTCTCTGAGCCTGATACTCAGTCTGGAAAACAGTGGTTGCGATGGGCTGAAGCCCAGGGACCACTCCTTGGCTTTTCTACTAATATATACGTATTGTATGACTTTGGACAGATGAATAGTTTCCCTTTCCTTAACCTTATGTTTCTCATATGTAAAATAGGAAGTTTGGACTAGAGTATCTCCAAGGTGACTCTAGGACCTTTTTAGCTCCATTATTCTACATTATGGTTGAAAATATACCGGCTCAAATCATAAGGGGACACATCTGTTTATAGTTGAAAAAAATAATCTCCATATTAGTTGGGAGGGCTCAATTTAGTTTTTAAAATAGTTCCCAAATTATGTATTGTATGCTTGTTGTTGGATATAAGTTTCATGAATGCTCTCCACATACAGAGATAGATATAGGTTTCAGTCTTTAAGTTATATACCGTACTTAGAAAAGCTAAGATTATTTTGGCAGTGAGTGACAAATTGATATGGTCCAAAATTGATATCATCCAAAATGATTGGATGGGCTGAGGATATTATATACCCATATGCCAATTGGGGTAAATAATTGAGAATCACTGGTGATAAACCGTTCCCAATGCCACAGTTTGTGATTGGATATATTACGGGCCTCTTTTCCTCCCTTCTAGTATGTTAACAGAGCTCCAAAAACAATGAATAGCTTTTTATTTTCCCTAGTTGCTTGATGTTCATGTCTTAGTTACTTCTTAAGGGATTAAAGTTGATCCTGATGGCGGCAATAGTAGCAACAAGATAATAAGTAACCATGTGTTTATGACATGCCAGGCATCAGGCTAGTCTTGTTATATTCATTATTTCATTTTATCCTCACAACACGCCCTTGAAGGAGACAGTATTATTATTCCCATTTTATAGATGAAGAGACTGAGGCCTAGAGTGGTTTTTGCATCACTTGCCAGAGGTGAGAACGAGAGAGTGGTGGAATAGATCTCCCTGATTCTGGAATTCAAGAACTTAACTGCTTTGACACTTTGGGAAAGGAAACACACTGGTTCGTTTCATCTGTCTTTCATGGCCATACACTCATTCTCCCATTGCACGGTTTTCTTTCTTTTTTCCTGGTTCCTTCACAGGTGGACAGTTTCAGAACTTAACAATTTACTGGACCCTTTAGTCACAGTTCTGGGAAGAGACTAGAGCATGACTTTTTTTCAAGAGCTCTTTAACTTGATGCCTGACCCTGAAGGCAAGATTTGAGTCTCAGGTTGCTTTCGTCAAGTCAGGTCATCTCTGGACTTGAAGGCTCAGATTTAGAATTGGAGCTGGACATGATGTACATACCTTTGTCATCTACTTACACTTTTTTACTCTAAAGCCAGTTTTCTAAATATATTATACCACATATATGTATTTAAAAGCCATTTTGCTAAACTATTATGATACGTTTTTTTAACATACACATTTTAAAATCTCATTTTATGAAGCATTTTTTTTCCCCCAAGAAATAGAAATGCTCTCATTTAAGTTCTGCAAATCTGATTCCTACTATTGGAGAGTTTTACTCTTGGAAAAGTATCTACAGCTTGAAGTTCCCATAAGTGGGTCTATTCTAGTTTTCCTTTCTTTTTCAGCAACACTTTTAGTTTATCTTTTCGCAGGTTTCTCCCAATATAATAAAGAAAGCTTTTGGGGTTTGAGGTTCCTTTAAATAAATAATTTATAAAAATAAAAATCTGATTTCTTGACTTAAGACTTTTTAATGTTTTTCTTTTTAAAATACTTTATTGGCTTTTAAAATCCAAAAGCAATACTTACTGTAAAAGTTTCAATAATAAAACATTGTCTCCCTACTTCCCACTCCCATCCCATCCTTCTAAGTAATCCTGACAGTTCAATATGTATTCTTCCCTACTTTATGTAGAAACATGCAAATATGCATATGAATATGTAGGGTTTCCTCTTAAAATTGGACCATATTGTACTTATTATTCTGTAACTAGCTTATAAAAACTGGACCTGTGCCCAGCTTGCTTAGGAAAGGTGACAGGTTTGGGGGATAGCTGAGAGTGGGGGCAGCCCCTGAACATTAAGCCTGCCCCCCATGGGAAGCATACACCCACTGACGTGAGCATCTCTGCCTATCCAGAATGGGGACCAAACCACCTACTGGGTGGCTGTGGCGAGAGGGCTTGGGGCATCAGCCAGGTGTGCCCTGTCCCCTTGGTCCATTAAGCCAAGAAAAGCATGTCGGTCGAGGATCTGAGCATCCCAGGAACCCTAACTTTCTCCTCTTTTATTGCTCATCCTCAACACAGAGGGACTGAAACCACTGCAGCTCCTTCTCATTTCACATACAGAAAATTCTGAAGTTACAATTCTAAGATAGTCATAGTCAACATTCATTAAGCATTCATCACGTGAATGCTCAAGCACTGATCTAAGCATTTCAATTACCTGAACAACCTTACTGTGATAGGCACTCTTTTTATTCCTATTCTACAGCAGGGGAAACTGAGGCACAGGGGAGTTCAGTCGCCTGCCTAAAGTCACTCAGCCAGTATCTATCATACCTGTGATTTGCCCCTAGGCAGTCTGGTTCTAGGTGCCCACCTTAACCGCTTGTACTCTGTGGTGGTGAGATTCTGAAGTTGTGATTCAAAGATTCTGTCATTTGAAAGTTTGGTGATTCTATAATTTAAGATCTAGGAGTCTGAGATTTTCCTAGACTCTGTAGGGGTCTCAAGGTGGAAAGGTGCCCTCTACTCGAACCCCCATCAGATACTTACATTTGTGCCGCTCCTCCATTCCCTGCAGGGAAGGACAGCGCTGGTACCAGCTGCGCCAGGTTCTGAACCAGCGGATGCTGAAGCCAGCAGAGGCTGCGCTCTACACAGATGCTCTAAATGAGGTGATTGACAGCTTCATGACTAGACTGAAACAGCTGCGAGTGGAGAGTGCCTCTGGGGACCAGGTGCCCGACATGGCTCAGTGTTTCTACTACTTTGCCTTGGAAGGTATGTTTGTTGGGAGAGGGGCTGGGTGGGCATGGGTCAGGGGCAGGTTGTGCTCACCCTCAAAGCCCCCTGGGTTCTGTGTGCCATGGCACTGCTTCCTGTGATGGCCTCTGTGCCCTGCCAGCTATTTGCTACATCCTGTTTGAGAAACGTATTGGCTGCCTGGAGCCCTCCATCCCCCAGGACACCGCAACCTTCGTCAGATCTGTCGGGCTCATGTTCCAGAACTCTCTGTATGCCACCTTCCTCCCCAAGTGGACCCGCCCCGTGCTGCCCTTCTGGAAGCGATACCTGGATGGCTGGAACACCATCTTCTCTTTTGGTGAGGATTCCAGGGAGGGAAGTTGAGGGATAGGTCCCAGGGTCTATACATTAGCAGCCTCTCCCAAAACCTTTACCCTCATGCTGCCAGCTGTCAGAGTGGCTCTTGGTCCTTGGAGATCAAGACTTTCAACCTTGTCCTCCCTGGTTCTCCATTGTCTCTGTAGGGAAGAAGCTAATTGATCAGAAACTCAAGGAGATAGAGACCCAGCTACAGACAGGGGGTCCAGATGGGGTCCAGATATCTGGCTACCTGCACTTCTTGCTGACCAGCGGACAGCTCAGTCCTAATGAGGCCATGGGCAGCCTCCCTGAGCTGCTCATGGCTGGAGTAGACACGGTGCGTGTGGGAGGCGGGGGCGGTGAGGAGACCAGGGGCTCCCAGCTCCCATCCTGAACCAATTCCCCATTATCCCCCCACCTGAACCTGACCTTCGTCCCTCCAGGTACCTGCTTCTCTTTCTGTAACATGGATGTAGAGCTAGGAGGAAAATGGGAGAGGGGGTCATTCAGTCCAGTGGAGGTGGGCAGGGGTTTGTCTTTTTTTTTTTTTTTTTTTTT